CACGGGGCACAAGTGTGCTCGCTGCCTGGCGGGAAGGGAAACTGAGGCACGGCAGGGCACTGCTCGCTCCCCCGCTACCAGCATGCTGCATCCCGGCACTGCAAAGCCAGCCCGGATGAGGCAGCGATGGCAAAAGGGAATGGGACGGTGCTGTGTCCCCCCTGTTGAAGAGGAACTGTTGGGCAGGGGGGCTGGAGTGGTGCCCAGCCTGGTCAGTCACACACCACAGACCCATTTCCAGGTGTGCAAAAATCTGCCGGATACAGGTGAATTCTGAGGCACTGACACGGGGCTGTCCCCACGGGAGCTATGCCGGTCGCGGGGAGGGGGGTTCCTGCCTGCTGTGCTCCCAGCCCCCCGTCAGAAGCTGAACACACAGTGCCACGCAAAGCCAGCGAAATTCAGCAAACGCCAGAAACAAGGCTGCCTAATTTACCAGCGGCTTAACCCTTTTGGGTGCATATTTTTGAATGAGCCATGAATGACACAGCTGCGTTTCACCTCTGCCTGTGGGCTCCCCATCTCATCCTGTACCAGGGGGAGCAGGTTGATACCGTCTGTTCAGTAAAGGGTGACTGCTGACCTTGCAAAAATCTGCAGGTGAGGAGCACTAGGGGGGGTTCTCCTGCACAGGGGGGCAGCTCTGACCCCCTCCCCACAGCACTGCACAGCCGCATGCCAACACCTTCATCATGGGGTGCTATCTGTTTCTCATCTTCTATGTTCCCAAAATGAGAGATCATGGGATTTATTAGACAAACATCAGGCGTTTGCGCCCACAACCAAAGTCAGAGGGATTGCTGCTCTGAGCAGATGAAATATTACAAGGTGCTAAAAGATTGGCAGTACTTGTGTCAGACTGGGTGCCTAGAGATGTTATGACTTAGGGCTTTATTTTCTGGGCCTCAGTCTCTCATGCATGAAGTGGGACACTAGAACCACTTCACCGCCCGCAGACAGTACAGGGATAAAAGTGTGGCATTCATGAAACACCTGAAGATCACAGCAAGGAGGGCTGAGCGAAACCTGGATCACATTTCTCTTGCAGGGCTAGCACAGGGTTTCACTCCTGTCCCTCAGCTCAGCTGCAGCTCTACCACTCGTGGAGGGAGGGGGTCCAGCGAGAGCTTGGCTAACGCGGTTGCCAAGCGAGGCAGGAGGTCTTGCAGAAGCCCATACAGCACAGAAAGAGTTAATGCCACTGCAGCACATTTCAGGGCCATCATTTTGGCTCAAAACTGCATGTGCAGTGTGGTGAATCTGCCCTGCAGAGCAGCAAACCACCCAGATCACTCCTTGGGCTAATGAGATGTCGCTGACTGCTTTCTCTAACAACTGGGAAGGGAATTCTCTGCTGGAAAGCATCCAGCGCTGTGCAGAAATGCAGCAGATACAGGATGGGCTGTGGTCAGCTGAGACCCAGAAGCCACGGGGTGTGATGCTACATTTTGCAGCCAATGCTCTCTGAGTCCTCAGGCCAGTTGTTTTTCTTCTCTCCCCTTGGCTTCCCAAGCCATCCGACTGAGCTAAGAGCAGCTAAGTGAGCCACAGGAGAGCCAGTGGGCTTTCCCTGTGGGCTCTAAAGAGGTTTAGGATCCTTGCGTGACAAGGGCTCAGCAGTGCAACGTGCCGTTACGGCTCTGTGCTGATAAGCAGAACGCTTCGGAAAAAAGCAGCTCCTGCTTTCTTACCCAAATCAGCGTATCTGGTCCAGAAGAAGTGCCCGAGGCCACCGGAGCTGAGCTGGAACGAAGGCTCGTTCCTCTTCCTTAGCGAGGTGCCGTTCTTCAGCGATAAGGCGGCATGCTCTGAATACCGGTAGGTGATGAAGCCGTATTTATCCCCCCTGAGCAACCAGAGAAAGAATTCAAGATGTGATGGGCCCTGCAGCCCCTCTGATGTGGCTCTGCCTGGCACTGCACCCCTGTCCCTCCGTCCTGTCATCTGTCCATTCCACCAGCCCTCTATCCTGCTGTCCCTCCATCCTGCCAGCCCTCCCCATGCCCCTGGACCTGGGGACACACTGCACCTCCTTGTCCAAAGTGCTGAGATCACGGGCTGGGATGACTGAGGGGGTTGGCGTGGCACACAGCACTGCACCCCACCTCCACAACTGCGCACACATGCAGCCGGACGCAGGGTGACCCTGCACCATGTGGCAGTGCTGACACTGCCTGAGGAGAGGGGTTGCAAATCACCACTGGAGCCCCAGACCGCAGCTCGCTTGGCACCCACCTGTTAGTCCTGGACAGGACTTGACACTCCACAATTTCACCAAACACTTCGAAGCGTTTCTTCAGTTCGCTGGAGCTCATGCTGCTGGAGAGGTTTCCGATATACACCACCCGGCCTTCCCCCTGCCAAAGCAAGGGAAAGGTTTCAGGCTCCAGGACTTGTATCTCTGCAGTGCCAACGGGTGCTGGAAACATGGGGCCATGGAGGAGCCCCTGCAAGCCAGCACTGGGAATCAGGCTGCAGCGAGGCAATACCACTGTGGGCACAGCCTGACACATCCAGGGTCTGGCTGTCCCCACTCCAGCCAGCTCACGGTGTCAGCCCCAGGACACCACTGCTGCAGGGGACAGCCATATCCAGGCTGAAGTGCCACCGTCCCCTTCTTCTCTTTTAAATTCCTCCTG